GCGATGTCTGAGGGCTAATCTCTACAGGGACAATGATAGAAAACAAAGCCTGGGAACTCACCTAGTTTTAGATTCTTTGCCACCCTCTGACCCTGTATAAAAGCTGGCTTGAGAGGCGATGGCAGAGCAGTTTTACAAGGTACTGTACCTTCTGCTCTCGCCAGTCGCAGGCATCGAACAAAAGCACCTCATAGATTCAACCCTGTCTCTATTATTGACTTGGGTAGCAACAGGCAGCACAGACACTACTGGTTCCAGGGTCGTTAGCATGGGCTCTTTACATTAGATTCAATATTTGTAGAAGGCCTCTCCAAATAATATGGGTTGAAGCTGAGGTCTGAAGCATGAGGAGCCAGTCATTTGAAGGTTGTCTGAAGACCCTTAAACTCAGAGGAAACAGCTGTGGGTGCTGGGAGGCGGCAGGAGCTTAACAGTTTGCAGGCTATGACCAAGGATCTTGTGTAGGGAACATAGAATGTGAAAAGGAGAGTAGGAAACCAGCAGAGCCAGATCATGCAAGAGTCCCATGCTAATCAATATAAGACTTTTAGTCAACTTCTGTGGGAAGCCATGCTAGGGTTTTAATCCAGAGGACTACATAATCTGATTAAATTTTAAAATATTTTTCCCACTTAACAACAACAAAAACACCATTATTTATATGGCAAAGGAATTCAAAAGATATTTCTCTAAAGAACGTATACATACAAATGGCCAATAAACACATAAAAAGATGCTCAATACCATTAATCATTAAGAAAATACAAATCAAAATCCCAATGACAATAAAATACTTCACACCTATTAAGATGGCTGCCATCCTCTCACCAAAAAAAAAAAATAATAAAGAAATAAAAAAAGCCAAAAAAAAAGTGTTGGCAAGGATGTGGATATGTTGTGTATTGCTGGTGGGAATGTAAAATGGTTTTGCCACTCTGAAAAAACAATATGGCAGGTCCTGGAAAAAAAAAAAAATCATAGAATTTCCATATGATCCAGAAGTTCTATGAAAACAGTAACTAAAACGGATACTTGTGTACCACTGTTCATAGCTGCATTATTCACAGCAGTCAAAAGTAGAAACATGTGACACTTGTCTTTCTCTGACTGGCTTACTTCATTTAGCAGAATAGTCTCCGGGTTCCCCATGCTGTCTCAAAGGGCAAGAGAACCTTCTTTTTTACAGTCACTTATATGTGGAAGCTAATGAACAAAATAAAATGGGGAACAAAATAAAGGCAGAGACATCGAATCATGCAACAGACTGATTTATATGGGG